AGTGGAAAAATGTTGTCACATTAGACGAATCTTGTGTGTACTTAAATGACTGCTATAAAAAGAGATCCATTTATTATCATCAAAGAAAATATCTTGAGACATGTTTCAAGGAATCTAAAGAAAGTTTTTCTAAGGGATTAATGATTGTTGATTTTCCATATAATGCCAAATTAAAAATAAAGAGAGTGAAAAAAATGTTAATCAACTAAATAAAATATCAAAAATATATTTTATACCCAATTTTCAAATATGAAATACCTTCCTTTTTCTCACAGTGTGATCAGTCAGTATAACTGCAAGACAAAGGAAGTAGCGACAAGTCAAAATTTACTGTTAATTTCCTGGAAAAATGGAACAAGAAACGGTTATCAGGACTTACCCGTCACTCATATCCCTACTAAATCTCTGATATATCATCAATGGATTTTTGCGCCATTGACCTGCAGCCTCATTAGATTTTGGAAAGTTGCTCAAGAGCAACATGATAAAATACCTCTTCCATTACTATAAAAGGCTTTATTGTCTTGGAAATTACGGTATGAAGAATAAGGATTAACAAACAGAACATTGAAAACAGAAAGATTTTAGGTAAAATATTTCTGTAATTACATTGAAAATCGTCTAAAATTCGTGTGAACGGCTCTATAATTACAAGATATCGTGTTTAAGATAAACATAATCTCCCCAAGTAAGTAAAACATGAAAGTAAGTTAACAAAAAATGAAGAAACAGTGTAAAATCGATTCAAATTACAAATAAATTCAAAATTACGAAATGAGAGAAAAGCTGATTCCAAGCAATAAAATTGCCAATTTTCTTTAAATAGATTCTTTGACCAAAATTTAACAAAACTGCTTAAAATGTTTCGAAGACACGACCTGGGTAAATTAGAGACAGGGCAAAAAAAATTAATTTTCAACAGCTTATTATTTTGTGGCGGAAACGATAGTTTTCACAAAGTGAAAACAACAGCACCTTTATGTCTTCACAAAATTCCAAGAAACTGTGATGAAAATTTCCTAATGTGACAACGTTTTATGATATTGGGATACTATATTTTTCAAGATTCATTATGAAATCTGTAACAAATAATAATTGCCATAATCATGATATGGATGAAATTACGTATTTCGTATTTAATTTTCATCAATGGACTAATTTTGTATTTTTATGATGGTCCATGAGTATGCGTGTTAGTCTGTTTAATACAATTATAAAACGCTTGTCGAAATGAAAGACACAGCTTATTTTGTTCTTAATTCTAGTAACTTTACAATAAACTGATGAAACAGAAATTTGTTTTTGTTGAAGTAAAAATGAGAAACTTCCTTCTTCAAATCGATTCAAATTCGAGTGTTCTGCATTGCGTCGAAACACAGGGCTATTTATAATGATAGATTGTATGTTAAATTGTTTTACACACAATTGGCAAGTGAATAAGATCTCTGCATACTGGTAGTTCAGTCTGGATTCAGATTTCGTCATGGGTATTGAGATTTTTTACGATGTGTAACAGAAATATGACCCAATGTCTCTCAGAAAAGTCCACTCCGTTTTCTAAATAGCCTTAAGTGCTTAATGATATTCAAATAAACAAAACGAATCAGTTTTAGATGGCAATAACTTCTTGTTGTTAAAGGTAAATTAAACATCGTGCAAAAAGTCTTAGAAAATTGCGATTCTCAGCCAAAATGGTAACCAGTTATGTTACGTTTTTTAATGTGTTCTTATGTGCTCTAGCTCGGTGAATCATTTGCAGTAGATCCAATAGTTTTGTGTTCTGCAGCTGTCTATCTAGTTTACTGAAACTTATGTCACGCTACAATTTATGTTGGGGATATGTTAAAAATATTATGTTCGTGCCACATTTGCCTCCAGCATGTATGGTCTCAAAATCCACATTAAAGGGTTTGCCTAAAAGAAATAGACACAATAAATGTTTATATACCTAAAAGTGTTTGCTTTTAGCAGAAAACATTTAGAACCATTTTACTGAGAATGTCTTCTCATATTTATGGGCCTACATCTAGAATGCCCATTTAAAGGATCAGAACATGATTCTGGTGTGTTATCCGCCAAGAAGTTTAGATTTAACACCGTATGACTACACTTGTAGCATACATCGAGGGCAAAGTTTTTATTCGAGAAATTACTACAAGTTTAAACGATCTTAAACAACACATGACAACAGCTATTGCAAAAGTTTACAGGTATATGCAGAGATATTTGATAAGCACTTGGCATCGGTTACAAAAGTTTCACGCATAGAACATTTGTAACTTTAGCTTGGTAAACTTCAGTACTAAGCTGTACTAAGTGTATATTCATTCTAAGTATCAGTACTGAGTTTCTCTAAGCTGTACTGTTGAAACTCGTTTTTCTGCCAAACTTTGAATATCTCTATGTCTTTTAGGCTAACTCTGACAATAAATATCGTTATCGCGATAGGAATGAAAGCTACTCAGGAACAAATAATAGCAAGAATTTGATTATCATCTAAATTTTGTTCATGCGAGATAAGATAGTCTGTTGAATCACTTTAAATAATTAACTTAATTTCGTCCGTGATTACTTGTCTATGTGCTCTAATAAATTTCATAAACAAAGTCCTGTGCAATGGGTCAGTCATTTTCCATAACTCTATATTTCAAAAACACTGTTTCAGCATAATCTCTGACTTTCTTAGAATGAGGTTGCTGTATTGTGACTTATCTCACTTGTCTGATAGTAACATTAGAACAAGCCCACGAAATTCATCGTAGCTAGGAGTGTAAGACTGCTCCTGTTGTTGGCGAGAACTTTGAGCACCATATATGTGACGGTACGACTTCGTTCAGTTCCGCCCCCAGTTTTTATGGAGAGCACCTTGTGGGGGGAGGGGGAATATGTTGATGCGGTCACATTTTAAGGTTAATCCCAGCGAAAGGGTTCGCTGCATGAAAAGTGTCGTAGTTTAACCCGTGTGTACCTAGAATACGGACTAGTTTCCCTAAAATGTCCTCCATGAAGGCATCTACCTCCTTAGTCAGATATCACTTGCGTATTTTGCAATAGTCTAAATTTTCAATGCCGTTCTTTGACTAAAAGTCAAACAGCTATTTTTACAAGGTGAAGATTGATATATCCAAAAATTAAAGTCACAAAATTAACATACATGGCACAGTTATTTTTCTATTCGCCTTTTATTTACATTCAATGTATTTTGCATTCCTTTTGTACAGGAAGCTGTATTCAGAATAGAAGGAGCGTAAATAAATCGAAGCAGTGAATTAAAATGATGAGGCGGCGGATTTGCGTTGTCATCGGGCGTTATCTTTGAACGAATAAATTGTACGGATTCTCCTTTACGAACAAAGAGCAAATAATCTTGCTGTAACTGCCAAAGATTACATGAAATAAATATGGATAAATATTGAGTGCAATTGGAGCAGCTTGAACATTTTCTGAGTTTATTTTCTTAAAATGAAATTTAAAATCTTTCCGAGAACAAAGTTTTCTGTTACGCTATTAATGGCCGATTTTAAATTTACTATAATTATCCAGTGAGAATCAGGAACATTTATACTAAGATTTTGAATATGACTTGAAAAGATTGTACTTTATAAACTAAATTTGCTCTATTCCTATTTTATAAACTAAATTTATTAAGTGTCTGCATGGTTGAAAGTATTTCTTTGTTTTTAATTTTTCTCTAAAACAGTTTATTTTAATATAGTTTATTTTAATATTATTGGCAAATTTCCGAATTAAACATTGTATAGTTTCTATTCAGAACTTTGCAAAATAATTTCAGTTTTGAGTAATCCTATCTTCCCTCACTTTTCTAAATCCCATCACTGATTCCAGAAGTATGCAAATAAATTAAATATAAAAATTTGATGTACACTTTCAGATGCAATTGCATGATGATTCTTGTTTCAGCTTAATGATTATTCATCTGCTTTGCCTAGTTTGCACCATGAAAAGCTAAATTTAAAACTGGGCAGCCTTTTACAAGAGAAATTCTGACAGTATCATTGAGCGAACTTAAATCTAGCTTTTTATGATTGAAACCGATGAAAGTCGATCAGTAGATTATCTCATTAGAACAGGAAGAGGAAATACCTGCTTTTGCGTATATACTATTTTCTGTCAAGTTTCTAATCATATCAATACATGCAAACAGTATAAATTATTTTTATTTTAGTACAAATAATGGGATATTAGTCACTAATAAGTGTTTTAGTAATTTTTTAACTTTCTTCTTTGTAGGCACTAAAGGCCATTCAACTCTTACTATTGATTACCAAAACAGAGAAGTGAATTTCTCATTCTGAGCTTTGCTATCTAGTTAAGAGACAGAAAGTAAACCTTATAAAGTAATTGTTATTTTTTAATTAAGCAAAATTCAATCTGTGATAAACAGGGGTTTTAATCTAAAAACACATTTCAAAGATAATGGAAAAATGTTCCTTTTCATTTAAAAGTAATTAAAGCCTAGAGAACAGAGACTTGCTGCCAGTATCTTGAAACGCAAACTATTTCTTCAAAAATGTGTCATACTGTGCCTTATTTTATACTTCAAATTAACATGCTGTAATCTTTAATGCATAAATATATATTTGAAATATTTTATAAATAAAAATTAAATTGTGCAAATTAAGCAACACATTAATTAAGCAACACATGCATCTGAAAACTTAAATAAACGGAATAATGTCAGTTTTTTTAAAAATTTTATTAATTGTAATTTTAAATCATTTTTACAGTTTCCTGATTGCATTCTAATTTTCATTATTTTGCATTAAAGAAAACTTTCAAAATATGGACTTGTTAATAGAAAACAATGGGACATTTTCGAGTTTGGACCCTTTGCTATTTTTTTCCCTCTTTCGGACGATTCTCGGCCTGACGTCACAGCCTTGCAGTCCCAACCGCCATTTTTGCACGTGACGTCACACTCGCACACCCACCCACCTTTATAAAGGACTCAGGAGCTTAAGGAGCATCGTCAGATCCCGGAACCCACTCACCCAATATGGCGGCCACTGACAACAAGCCCCACGAGCAGGTAAGGGAAAAGTTTCATCTTTTATCTCAGTGCAATTGTTTTCTGCGTCTGGTATTGTCCACTAACTCTTCATTCGGAGTTTGATTTTTCTGAACACATTTTCGCACCCAAACGCCGGATGAATGGGAAACTGATGAATCTTTTCTCGCCGGTATGGCAAGGTTATTGATTAGTTCGATCCTCCGCTGCAAAACGGGAGCGGATTCTAACTTTTATGTCATTCGCTTGCCTGTTAAAAATTAAATTATTTTCCTACTTTTCCATTTTTTTTTAGTGGTAATTATCATTTGATTTTGAAAATTGGGATCATAGCGGCTAAGTATCCGTTAAAGGGAAAGCGGGAAAAGAAAACTGGGAAACCAGGTTGGATAAGAATTTTCGTCCGTGTTTCATTTGACCTTTCGGAGCTGTTTCTTTGCCACAAGGTTATTGCTATGGCTACCGTTCTTCTGAAAGTATTAAATAGTTGCTATATAATAATAATTCGCTTCAAACTATAAATTTTTATAAATGTAAATTTACAAATTTTAAAGATTACTTCATCTTAATATTAATTTCTTTCAACTTTGAGAAGCAAGGATATTAATTAATGTCTATATCTGTTAATCTGTTATTATGTTATGGGAAAAAATTTGTCTATTAATCTTATACGGTTAGTATTTAAATCAAAATGAACTTCATGTACTACAAGCTGTTTATCCTACAAAAAAATTGAAATTAATATGCTTAATTAAAAACAACGTTACTCGCATTGTGGTTAGCTTCTGAAAGTCATAAATAAAAACTGAATACTTCAGCTAAAAATAGAGCAATTTTCTTATATTCTTTATAATTTTGTAACATTTCTCAAGGTTATTTTTAGATCAAGATTATAGTTGCACCAAATTAATTCATTTTGAATTTATGCGAGACTTCTTATAAAATTCTAACTGAAGATTCAAGGTTGATTAAGGTACGAAATGTGACCACAAGTTGTAATATCAATCAAATAAAAGTAATATAAATACCATCTGAATAAGTCATCAGATCAAGTAATAAGCATCATTTGAATAGATACCATCTAACTAAAAAAAAAGGAATAAACTACTGCAAAATGAGTTGTGTGTTTGCTATAAAATTACATTAAATTAAATCGGAATTAATTTTGTGAAATAATTATTTTTAAGACTCTAGAATGTTTGTAAATTATTTTTAATACTTCTATTTTTCAAACAAATTTATGTCTTGATCAGAATGAAACTATGATACTTGAGTTTTTTGTGTTATATTTGTGTTATTAATATACAATTAATAAAAATATTTTCAATAAAATGCTTAAATTGCTTTTATATTATAAGCTGTTATATTATTCCCTTTTTGTTTCTGAAAATTTGTATTTAACTACTTTTCCATATTTATTTTTAAATTGAATAGGTTATATAAAAGTGACGATAAAAACTTTCAAAAGGATATTTTCAAAATGAAAAAATGTTTTATCAAGCTTATATTTATGGTTTGAAAGTATTAATCATACCCCTAAACACACAAATTTGATATAATATAATAATTTCAGTAGCCTTCATATGCGTATTTAAGTGAAATTAAATTAAAAGCAATATAAACAAATAAAAGAATAAAATAAATAATTATTACCATAACAGAACTCTTTTTCTGAACAAAAGCAAAGGGGAAATAATCAAGCAAGTATTAAAAAAAGATTGTGAAAAATGTCACAAAACTAAAATAAAGTTTCAGAGACAATGCAAATTAGCACAAGGTCAATAAACAGAACAAGCACAGCATCATAGTTATAAAACAGTTTTAGATTCGAAATATAGCAAAAGAACTGGTTTGTAGGTTATTTATCGGAATTGATGCCACGATTAATTTCACGTTTGATAAATGAAAAGAAGAAAGAAAGAAATATGAGAGGCAAGGGTTAAAAACAGTTCCTGAAAATTTTCCATTTACTTTAGCTTTAAAGTCTTCCTTTGCTAATCTACAATATTATTGCAAATAATTTTAACAATATGCAATTTTAATTTGATTTGTATGTCTGTCTAGATTCCATTTTATCCATACAAACCTTACTTTGATTACTTTGGTATAGAGACATTAGATACTATGTGCGTTATAAATATATAAAGGCGTTATATATATATATATATATATATATACAGGAAGAAAGGAGAACAAACTAAAAAAGATCTGTACGGTCAAGAATTTTGCGCATTGAGCTGCAAAATTTGAAAACAAGGTAAAAAGGAAATTCTTCATACTATTGCTTAAAAGCAAAAGTGATACTGTGGTTCCCGTATAAATTTCTTTAACACTATGTAAAAATAAATTGTTTACAAAAAGTTTAAATACAAGTATGAAATATTTAACAAGGAAACTGACAAATAAAAAGGGAATGTAAAACTCAAATCAAATTTAAAAGTTACAAAATTTTGATGAAAGTTTAAACAATCGTAAAACATTTTAAAATAAACACAAAAATTATTTAAAACATAAGCAAAAGAACTAAGAAGCGGTAAATGGTAAATTAGCCTAATTCGAATCTCATTGCAGACTTATCAAGGGAAATGCACAGTGAGTTTCGAATCCAGTTAATTCCATAACGCGTTTCGTCAAGACATGAAGAATTGAGACTGACCATGAAAAAACTTTTTGAGTATTAAACAGACTAAATTACCTAATACAGCTTAAGTCTCAATTTTTCTGTTTCATTTCCCGACGCGTCCGCTGATTAAAAGTAAATGAGAAACACATTAATGGTGCAAGAAAGAAACTATACAAACTAGCCTGGTAAGGCAAATGTATATATATATATATATAATTTCTTTAATTTTGTAGCACAATGCGCAAAATTTTTGACCACATAGGTCTTTTTTCGTTTGTTCTCCTACTTCTTTAAATTATATTTATAGTATATATATATATATACTATAAATATAGTTATATATTAAATATATAGTATATATTATATAAATATATATATATATATATATACTATAATATATTTATTATATACTATATACTATAGTATATATATATAATATATATATTATATATATCTACTATATATATAGTAATATGCTTAGGCGATAGGATATAAGTAAACTTTGTGTGTTCAGAATAATACAATAAAGAAACAAGAATTAAAATTATTAAATATTCGAAATATGTTTTCTTAATTCCAAATAATTATATAATTCTAATACAGTTTTACAAGCTGAAATTAGATGATATGTATAGCGTTACTGATTCCACTGAGGTATGTTTTGGAGTCCTTTTTATAATAAATCAGAAAAGAAGATACACCTTTTTAGAATTTTCTTCTGTAGTTTGCAGAATAGTGGTTACTAGTTAAAAAACTGCAAGTGTGAAATTTAAATTTGTGCTAAACAAATATTTTCATGCCTTAATCTTCATCTGTATCCCAAAGCTGAACAGAATTTTCACCACAAAGCTAAGTTCCAAATTGGATTGAACTTTGGCTTCCTAATCGACTTGCTTTTGATATAAGTAAACTGATTAGAAAGCTAAATTAAGCTAATGAACTTGCTTTTGATATAAGCAAGATTATTAGGAAGCTAACCCATATATATTTCTAAAGACCTTGCTTATGTTAAGCAAGTTGATTAGAAAAGAAGGGGAAAATACTGTTTTAAAACCCATGATTAACTGAAACGGAATGTTCGGAGAAGCAGTTTTAAAGAGCCTAATATTTCATTAATTTAACTGAATAATTTCCTTATACTTCCAAGTGCGGAATTAAATACTCCAAATATTAAGAATTTATTCCATAAATTGAGAAAGTATTTTATCCGTTTTTACAGCGTGCTTTCGTGGTGTGAGTAGATGCAAGTCCGCCTAGGATCGGGAGGTCCGTTGTTCTAATTGCACCTTTTTATGTCTTTTGCATTGTATAATTTAATTGTATCTCCAAAGTATCCGAATTTTTCGTTGATTGTGGACATCTAAACTATCTTTATATTGACCTGATTAGTTAAAGATAACGTCCATATTATACATAATATGAAACATAATAAATAAACATAAGAAGAAATATCTGGTATAATGTAATAAAAATACTATAAAAAACCAAATTTCCCAGTATACTTATTACGCAAGCAACAGCTTTACAGTGAAGTTCAAATGTTCTTAGTCTACATTTTCTATCCACTACGTTTTCTTCTTTCATTATTTTTACAGAAATCCTATCAGAAGCGGAAACGAAATAGTTTTTGTTATATACGTTAGAAAGATAAATTTATACTTATTACAAAGAAGTGTTAAATAATATCTGTCTTTAACCTGAAAACATTGCACTTATGCTTATAAAATGGTATGCTCATAATAATCTCACAATCTGTGTTCATAAAAATTCATATCAATCACTTAAATAAACGTGATAAACATGTATTATACTACAACATGTTCTTTCCGCTATCTGTGTAACGATGCCAATTAATCTTAACTTGTGGACATTTGCCAATACCAGAAATGTGTTATATGGCATATTGCCTAGGAAATGATCGAAGTAACTTCCGACCAAACAAATTTCTTTTTCTTCTAAAAGCGTTAAAGGTACGCTTTTGTTGAATTTTAATTAAGTGTCATTTTTATACTATTTAAGTTAGTAATTGTAATTCGAACTTTTCCAACATCGGAACAAAAATAACAAGCTTTGGATACTGAAGATTATAAAAAGGAGTGCCAATAATTAACTTAAAATACCTAAAATATGCAATAATGTAATTCCGAATATTAGATAGAACATTTGACTTCAATTACAAAACAATTTTTTTATATAAAATAATAGACTAGTGCTTGAAAATTAAATCATAGTTGTATTTTCAAGTTTTCTGAATAATAATCTTTGCAGGAAAAGTTTTTTTTAAAGACAAATTTTGTTTATTTCAAATGCTAAATTTACATACATAATTTGCTTCCTCAGAAACTGTTTCCTTATTTTTATCAAAAATTCTTTTAACTCAGAATGCTTCTAAATTGGG